ATATATATATATATATGATATTCTATGATATCTCGCCTGTGAGACAGCCTTTGTATAGCACATTCAGTTGAAGAATACCATGAACGAGGGATTCACTTGAGTCTCCCGTGAAAACTGAATTGATTTGCCAAGGAGCGTATTTCTCGATACCATGGATGGTTCAGTCGCAAAAGGACCTCTGAGGTTAACTTTGTCAGGAATTTCGAACGCCCCTTGGTGAAGATAGTTTACACAGCAGAGTTTCTAGTCACCCTTATGGATGCTGTCACTGAATCCGGATGGTTTTACATGACCATCATTTGGAGAGCACTGATGGATGCTTCTAACTGCTACGGACAAGAGCGCTAGTGACATTAAGCATTCTCCATGTTCATTTAAATTTCATTTTTCCTTCGGAGTTCACTATTATCGAACTGTTGTTATTTTCTGTCGATTATTTTCATCACGAAGCGGGCGCTCTCTTTCGGCCGTTATTACCCTTTGGAGAGGCTCGTTTAGTAGGTTATCTCAGAGAATTGAAATTTCCAGCCATCACAATTTTTCAGCACTATCTTATGACCTACCTGGTTTTCGATATTAACCTGGCTGTTGACTGCCGAAAGAGTTTATTTTTTATGGAGATCACCTTTTCGTCTGAAAGCCCTAGCGAAGTTAAAAAAACAGATTTCCTTTTGAAGTGTTTGTCAGTTATTCGTTTCCCTACCTACATTGATGTTTTTTACTACCTTGGTGACTTGGGATTAGCTGGACCTTTGCATCTACGTGACAGCTTACGACACCATATAGTCCAATCTAACCGTATTACTGATAATGGTGGAGTATGGTGTTATTTGTTGTTTGCGTGAAGAACAAGGCGATAATATAGTTTTATTATAATTACTAGCGTCAAGCGTATATTTATGTGTTCATGTGCCATTGGTTCCCACGGTGTGTGTTCCCTTGCTGTAATGGTTCATTTTTCACTTATAGAAGTCCGCTACGCGTTGACGATCTCCTTAGCCAGAAACAGGAGGTAGAATCACTGCTTAATCGGCCGGTTGAGGGTCGGGCCTGGTACGTTGTGTTGCTATTTACTGCATTCTCTTAAAGGTATGTGATTGACTTGCAGTGGTGGAACAAGTGGTGTGCATTCACTGATGCAGTAGCGAAAGGTGAAAACCTGGATTTGGCATGTGATGATTATCCAGCCGAGATCAACAATACGAATCTCTTGGGTAGGTTTGTTTGAGTATATCACTATAACACTTCCAAGGATCAAACGGGAAATTGAAACCCGATCTACTGAGGGAACAAGATATTACGCTCATACCAGGAGAAGTTTGGGATTTATTGGTGAACTACTACGGATGTGTCCATACAGACACATCCGTGTTCAAGCGGACCGCTGTTCAAACACCATCCGGGCGTTGGGTTGTTGAAATCTATCCTCCTTGCTTCTCGTTCATTGAGCTTGGCTCCCAGAACACACGCTTCACTGGGACATACAGCGAGTCACAAACAATAGGTACGTTCGTTCCATGGTATTAACTCCCTTCTTTCAGGGCATTTGAAGAGCATAGTTCGGTCAACCTTGAAGCTAGACCCAAATACCAACGTCCGGCTTTTCATTCAAGATGGACTTCTGTGTGATGAACTGACGGATGATAGTATGACTATTGGAGAAGCAAGTTTGGAGCGCCAGAAAGTAAGTTTTTTTGAAATCTCGAGACATCAGTATCGCCCACCCAAAGTTTTGTGTTGTTAAGTGTACGAACCACACAGCTGGTGGCTCTATGGGACCTTCATTACTTGATCTAACCCTGTACTTTGCTGTACTTTTGATGTGATCAAAGGAAAAAGTTCCTCCACAATGCCCGTGTGCTCTTCGGAAAACTACCGCATCGAGCTGGAATGACCCCACTACTTGAACATCTCCGTTGTTACGACGCGTGCTTTCCTATTTGATGGGGCTTTCCGATTGGTATTTAAGTGGTTTTCCAACCTCATCTAGTTCAGATGGAGACCCCCCTCTGGTTTTTGTGTACTCGACTGTTTTATTTGAGACTTTACCTATGTGATAGCCTTGGCTTATGGATTTCTTGGGTCTGATGGGGTTTTTGTAGATTAGTGGTAAGGAACCGATGTTAGCCATTTCTAGCCTCTCCCCACGGTTATGATACCGGTGTCCACCCGCAGCACATGCTGTTTGCAATACTGTGATAGCACTGTAGGCACTTCGTTTTGTTGGCCCACTTTTCACTGATCTCATAGTCCTTCGGTGTGGATGGTTAATTATTCTGCTTGGATTTTTTATTTTCGATATGACAGTCAGGTATTGGGAAAGACAGTGACTCCCAAGTGAGGAAAGATTTCCTTCTGGGAGGAATCGCTTTTTTTCTGAAGTCGACATAGTTTCCATTCAAGGCGGTAACGTGTTAATGAACATTTCAGCCCCAAGTTGCTTCCCACTCTTGACGATCGGAAGGCAGCGACCTTCTCGGCAAAACTAACGTGTTGTAAATAGATGAGTTGACGCCGTCTTCTATGGGACAGGCATGCTAGCAGCCAAATGTGCACGTCGGTGCAAGAAAGTTATCAGTCTAATTTCTGTGCACTCACTGGATGGTTGTCACTGGCAGTGTTTCGTGGTGTGTTTCACTTGCCCCGTTCTTTGAGGCCCGCAACGCGTTCGCATCACAGGTTCTGCCGGTCAGCCATCCCTTACATACGCCCAAACTGAGATTTTTTTTACCGCCCATGAGGATTCCGATTTCGAATCACATCTGTTGAAATTAGGGGTGCAGATGGATTCCTGAATGAGATTTTCAACCGAGTTTTATCGAGCTCTTCAGTACGGCGAACCATCTTAAAGCATTACTATGGGCAATGCAGTCAAATCCTTGCTTTGGTATTGAGAAACCCACTCATACCGCTACAGAAAACTCTTTGAAAACCCAAGACCGTTTTTGCACTTCTTGGGGCTTATAAGGTAGGTGCAGTCCCTGAGTTTTTGTCAACCCTGTGCACTATTTGCACTCAAATTACACGAAATTTGACAAATATACATTTGCATACCAATTTGGTTTTCACGAGATACTCACCTGAATTCCAGCTGAGTCTCTTGTTTATGAATTCTTCAACTGAGTGTGCTGCACAACGGCCATCTCTTGTTTCATTTTGTTCGATATTCGAGATATCGCAGCATATTTTTGTGCATAAATTGTGTATCTTATTGTGTGGCACATTCAGTTGAGGGAAAACATCATAAACGAGAAATTCAGCTGGGAGTCAGGTGAGTCTCCCTTGGAACGAAATTGGTATTCAGATGAGTGTATTTTTCAGATTTGTGTTGACATCTAATGCTTTATTCAATCCAAAGGGTTTCTCATTAAAATCAGAACATCTTTGGGGCCTTTAATCTGATTTATTTAAAATTAATATAGAATTTCTACCAAGCCTGTGAGAATCGGAAATCCTCAGTTGATTACCAGTCGCATATGTACCTACGTGATCGAATATCTCGCTGCCAACACATTTCGTTCAGTGACCCATGTTTTGTTCGCCTTACATTTTTTTCAGGTTATCTACTTTAAACTGGAGGTCACCAATGGGCCAAAAGCCAAGTGAGTTCGTTGGTTTGAGGTAGCCATGTGAATTCTTCCGCTGTTTTGTTCATGGCTATATTTCAAACATCTTGTGTACCTTTCCGTTTTTTTGGCTGGGTATTTCGCCATATAAACAATTTTTCATGGTGTTACAGGTTACTGGAGTCCAACTATAATTTCCGTAAAACTTGAAAGCTACAAACGTTGAGTGCGATTGATTTTCGTTTTTAAACTAACCACACCTGATTTCCTGTAAATTGTTTTCCTCCGGTGCACCGTTTCTACATTTCCTCTCCGAGATCCTAATCTCTGGATCTGATGGCACTACGACGTACTCTTTTCCTGTTTGCTTTTTAAGGATGGAGTGAACGTTTTGGTTTAACTCCGATTTGTACCTGTAGTGCTGAAATTCAACTTTCGGCGTGGCAAACATCACTGTGTTTATTGGCCACCGAACTGCGACGATGCATCTCCTCTTCCCCGTTAAGCGTTAGTGGCGAACAAACACTTCGATTCGGGTTAACTGCAGAAGGTCGCATTCTGGACGCCTTCAGTATCCGAAAAATTCGTTTCTGTTTCCCCACACGGACCTGTACGATATGAAGCCAGATTCTTTCCCGTCACCAGCTACCTTACTCAGCTTGTCTTCTTCTCAAATCATCATCATCATCATCATCATCATCATCATCATCATCATCATCATTGTCAGCTGTAATAACCGCGTACTCGTCGTACTGTGGTTGTAGCTGCCGCAGTTTCGTTCACTGATGGTTTGGGGGG